TCTCGGCAGGTCTGACGGGCGCGTTACCTGCGGGCCTCTTGGTGAGGTTGAGGCAGTCGGCGTGGTAGACCTTGGGGCAGCCCGGCTTCTTGCAGGACACGATCTGGCCGCCGTCCCCGCAGCTGAAGCACTCGTCCTCGCGCTCCTTGGTCACCTCCGACCTGCCCTTGCGCCGCGCCGGCAGCTTCCTCTTCAGCCGGCGGCCCTTCTCCTCCGAGGGGGGCTGGTTCTGGGGGCACACGGCGAGCGGGGCGCGTGAGGGAGGCAGGGGGGGCAGGGTGGTTTCTCTCTCCTGCGGTCCCCGACCCGCTACACTACCGTGTCAAGCCTTTGGGGTTCTTGGGGGATGAAAGGCGCTATATGAAGGAAATGAAGCTGACCCATACAGCTGCTTCCCTTGGGAAGGATGGAAAAACAGCAGGACACACGTAGCCCAAGTGCTTCTGGGATGGGAACAGTGGTAACAATTTGTCAACCTGTCAACCTCAAGGCGTAGGGTCCCCCCCACCAGCTCACAGTAATAAGGGGTGCTTTCAAAGCCAGCAGGCTTGTGAAAACTGAACCAGAGAGAGACAGGACATCATCTCCTGCCAAAGACGCCTCTTGAGCACAGAACAGCTCAGTGCAGCTGTGCACCAAGCAGGCAAGCCATTGCAGGCACCCTGCAGGTCGGACAGGGCTGGGACAGCACCGTAAGATACAGCTCAGCTCTGCTCTGTACTGTGTTACGGTTACGAGCCCGTGGTTCCATGCTCAATTGTGTAATACACAGCTCTCACTGTGCAGTTCCTTAATGACACCACCTCACTCTAAAACTGCCTGTTCTCCTTAATTAGCACATGGCTTGGCCAGGGGGGAAAAGACTCTGTATTCCAGGGAATTCTGACTGCCCGGGTACCCCAGCATCTCCTGCTCACCTTCGGCCTGACTCCCAGGAACCCACTGCAGTTCGAAGCTCCACATTTGCACACCGTCTTCCCGTTGCCCAGACACTCCAGGTTGTAGTTGAAGGTGAGCTCTGTGCCTGCCGGGGGGGAAACCGAGAGAGGTGGTTGGAATCGGGGATCACCGAGGGGAAACATGGGGTCTCCTGCTGCTGCACGTCAAAGACGGTGTAAGACAACACGCAGCTGCCCAAAGCCTCAAAGCAGGATTTGAAGGAAAGTGTAGACTGAACTGTTTGGA